CATTCCATGTATTCAGTTTTAGTTCTACTCAAATGAAGGCCTTTAGACTCCAATGTAGACCTCCATAATTCAAGTTTTTCTTGGGCTTTTACTCTCGTCTTATCCACGAGAAGGATATCATCAGTAAAAAGCATACACCAAGGTACATCCTCCTGTATCCAATAAGACCATCCATAACTAAAGCAGAAAGATATGGGCTTAAGCCAATCCCTGATGTAATTCAATAGAAATAGGGAAATATTTGGTCAATCCTCCTTCGGTTCGAACACAAGTAACAACTCTAGAATACATATCTTTAATGAATTGAATATAAGTTTAATCAACACCTTTCTTTTCTAGAGCTCTCCAAAGAACTTTGCTTGTTTGGACCCTTATCGTATGTTTTTTTCTAAATCAATATAAATCAAATGTAGATTCTCCTTGTTATCTCTGAACTTCTCCATCAAACTTCTCAATAAATGTATAGCTTCCATAGCAGACCTGACCGGCATAAATCCAAATTGATTATGAGAAATCTTTGTAATACCTCTAAACCCATGTTCAATTACCCTCTCCCATAATTTTAAAGTATGACACATCAACTTAATTCTTCTATAATTTGCACACTCTTGTGCATCCTTTTTATTCTTAAAAATAGGGACCAAAAAACTCTTCCTCCACTTCTTAGGCATCTTTTTAGTTTTTTAAATAATATTAAAGAGTTTAGTAAGCCAAGAAACTCTCAAATCTCTTAAACATTTTTATACTTTAATTAAGATATCATCACGTCCTACAGACTTTCCACACTCGGTTTTCTTTAAAGCCTCATCAACTTCTTTTTTACTAATGTGATGGTAAAAATAAAATATTTTATTATTAATAAATATTAAGATTATTAATGTCAATCATATTTTCAGAAACTTCATCAAAAAGTTTATCAAAATAACTCACCCGCTTATGTTGAATATTTTTTTCCTAAGAAAAGTACATTTTGATTATCATCTTTAATACACTTTACTTGAGTCAAATATTTACTTTTCTTTTCTCTTTCTTTCTCTTTTTTGGCTAGTTTATACATGTATATTTCACCATCAATAATATCTAATCTATTATAAAGATCATTAAAATAAAAAATTTTAGCGTTACATATTATTTTTTAGACTCCCTGCGGGGCGTTTGATATTTTTCCTAGTTATCTAAGTTTTTACATTTAAATTAATTTTTATAACATAACTTCTTATATTTTATCTTTTCTTGCACATTATTATTCCACCACCAACTATTTTTATTTAAGGAAACTTTTTCTTTTGATTCTCCAAGTGCATCTTTTGCTACTTGTTTAATAGTGTTTGTTACTTTATCCCACATAACATTTGCTTCATCATGAACATACAAAATTTTGAAATCTTGAATTTTACTCATAAAAATAATTTTATTTGTGTCTTTTAAATTTCTCAATCTAATTCTACGATGATGAGTCATAGTATTCTTTATTTTACAACTCTTCGTCTTAAAAACTAGAACTAATAAATCACGTTGGACACTTAAATCCTCACTTGGACTGACCATACAATCTTTACAATATCGACGATCTTTTCTTCTCATAAGAAAATAATCAATTTGTGTTTTATTAGATCCATTCTTATAAGTAATAAGGTGCTAATCTCTTTTCTTAAATAAACTATTGGATGGTATGTATGTAAAAATTAAATATTAGATATTATATATCTAAATAGAAAGAAATTGGATGGTATGTACGTAAATCCCCTAAAATAAATTAGTTTCAACAAACTCAAAACAATCGAAGCTTCTTTGCATTGGTTAAAGTTATTTTATAATTTTATAATGAAATAAAATTTGAAGCCAGAAAACTCAACTAATTTTATAATTTTATTATGTATTTACATATTTAACACATCATATGTTTCATTATCATAGTTTGGTGTCGGGAAGCAAAACATTAAAGTTTAAGTGCTAGATATGTCAATATAGACACACACACACACACACACACACACACACACACACACACACACACACACACACACACACACACACACACACACACACACACACACACACACACACACACACACACACACACACACACACAAATGATTTGCACATATGTCAAGACAATGCAACTGTGGGGACTAGAATATTCTTCGCTGCTCTATTTAAAGCAATGCTAATAATATAATTTTTATATTTTGTCATTCTTATCTTCTAACAATAAGAGGTCTATAACATATATTAGGGGACTTTTTTGTTCCCCTCACTTGCAGCCATTTTTTTTTATGGATTAAGATGGGTCAGAGAACCCAAAAACATCTCATTCGCCTTGACGGAGCACGCCTTCCCTTCACCTCATCTCTTTCTCTCCTCCTCTCAATCTCATTTTCTTGGTCCCGACGCTCTATCCCTTGGCACAACCAACCGAACATATTTGGATTCAGCATCCTAAAAGGTGCGATAAACATGGATCGTGTCATTAACAAGAAGATAATTAACATCGAAAAATAACATTTCAGAGAGATGCTCCTAACAAAAAGTGTAAGGGGAACTTGCACGACAACAAATTATCCCTTCTCTCGTAGACCTGTGCATACTATCTATGTCCAGATCTAGAGACCTTCAATGCTCCTCTAGTACACAGATCTCTGCTTGTTGACCTTGCCAAACTTATCTTCAAAGCCAAAGCACACCAACCTCCGACCCGAGAATAGTACTACCCACTCCATTTTGCCTCCTAACTGAAGTACAACAACATCCCATATCTCTGAAAGCAGCCACTACAAGTTCTTCTCGATCCATGAACTCCCCACCCCGCTTTCCTGCCCGAGACCACTTCCTCTCAACCCATAAATCAACCACTTGCTTGTCGACAGACTGTCGAACAATCGACAACAGTCCGACTGCCTCCCCCATGAAAACTACCCTATCTGTCGTGTAAAAACAATCGCACGGACGCCTGTTGGCCGCCTGGTCAACCGTCCAACCCTCTCCCGTCGGTCGCCCGTGTCACTGGTCGGTCACTTTTCAATCTCGTGGACCCCTAAAACTGATCCTATATCAATAATTATATCAAGCTCATTTAAATGTGATTTAATAGACGTATATTTTTGCATGTAGAGTAAATAAAGATTTTTCTTCTTATAAAATTTATTAGAGAAGTCTTTATCATTTACGGGGGCCTCATGTTAAGCACAAATCTTTAATAATTTTTCTTCTAATACCTTAACAAAGCATTATCCTTAAAGAAAACCTTTTTATTCACCTTTATTTTGGCTTGTTTACTTATATTTTTTATGAGTCTCTTTAGAACGCTTTATTGAACATGAACACAACACTTCTTAGTTCTCTTAAAGTTAAAATATTTTAACTCATCAAAACTCTTAGGGTGTGTTTGACGCAGCTGTTGATTATTTATAATCTGCTAATAAACAGATTGTTCTGATAATATGATAATCTGTAGATTATCAGAATAATCTGGTCTGCTGTTTGGGGCAGCTTATTCATATTAGCTTATTGATGGTTAAATGACATTCCTGCCACTGTGCTAAAACTGTTTGGGACAACTTATTTAGAATAGCTTATTGGTAGTGCAGAAGCATATAGTGCAGAAACATATAGCGCAGAAGCATACAATCATCACAGATCAGTTCTAAAAGATAACATACAGTTCTCACATTTTCATAAGTACCAGAAGGAATAAAAAAATATAAAAACAAGTACAACTACAATGAGAAATATTAAAATATTTAATTTGAAACTCTGGCTACGTCTCTCCTCATCTGCACTATCAACCTCGGAAAACATCGCATTGCCATGACTGCTGGAAGTGTAATATGTGAGACTGTCAGCCAACCTGAAAAAACTGCAACAAGCTGAAACACCCTTGACACAACCGTAAAACTGCAAAGACAGCTATTGTCATAGATCAAACAGCATTTCCACTGAGGCAAACCGCACCAAGACAACTAATGTCATAGATCAAACTACACCAGGATAGCTAATGTCATAGGGATTAACAACATTTCCACTGAGGCAAACCACACCAAGACAACTAATGCCATAGATCAAACCGCACCATGACAACTAATGTCACAGAGATTAACAACATTTCCACTGAGGAAAACTATTGTATAGCCAAATCAAGACTCTCTTATGTCAAATTACTCCATAACAGAAAATCTGTGTATAATCTGCCACCACA